AATTAGGCTTGAAAAATATTTTTCTTTTTTTTTTTAATTATATTTCTATTTTTTTTCAAAAAATATACACAAAAAATAATATACATATTTTTTTTTATTTCCACATTTTCCACAAATTGATCACCTGTTTCAACTCACAATTACAAAAAACCTGCAAAGGGAAACTGTATATTTTCCGCCTACCTTCGCGCCAACAGCATTTTTCTCATCAATTCTTGCCGGTATTCGCCGAAAAATTCGCAAGCGCTCCCCAAAAAACAGCACACACACACAAATAAAGCAACGAACAATCGAACCCGAGTTAGCTGAAATTTAGCGACGTCATGCAGCACCACAATAACTCAAACACGACAGAAGATGAATGCATGCGGTCGGCTCAGCAATGAGCTATCAATACACTAGCAAATCTACTACGAAGTGCCATTGTTGAGGAAGTAGTTACAACGACAATCACTACCAATTGGATTCGCACGTTAATTACAACTGAACTGAAACGTTGGCAAAATGATGCGGCACTAAAGCGGCCGACTCTATTAGTGCCACCAATGGCCGCAAGACCTCAGTGCTAAAGTGGCGCAAAGTGAACGGACACAGCTGACGCGATGCTAACTTTGGCGCTGCCGCTGCTGTAGACACCAACAGCGACAGTGTCGTCATTGCAGCAGCCGCTCACAAACGCCGCCACACAACGCCGTCTGGGGTGGGCAAATAAATACGTTTGACTAAGGTGAGCGGCCGCGCTCACAATGTTGGTCACAACGGCGACAGCTGTTGTTGGCGCTAATAAATCCCCGAACGTACGGCTGCCGGCATGTTTTTCATACATTTTCATATACGTATCATATACATGTGCATTTATATACATTCGAAACATATGTACACGCAAATATACATAGAGATGTATGTACATACATACGTCGGAAAGCTAGTGCGGACAAGTGGGCTTAAATGTTGCGTCGTTGCAATCCATCGTATAATCACTACACACCAAGGCAGAAAGCTACATACACGCACATGCATTGTATATATATATATATACATGTATGTATGTATGTATGTATGTATGTATGTATGTATGTACAAGTCATACGTTTGTATGGGCGTCAAACTGGCACAATTTAAAAATAACTGAACAAAGAAAAATATGGATTAATAAATTTGCAATTGAAAAGTAAAAGATATATTGTGAAGGAAGAAATGAATATCGACTGAAATGAAAAACAAAAGCACAAAGCATGTGAAGCAAAAGATCAATTAGTACATAATTATGTATGTCAGTATGTATCTTTGTGTGGGGAGCGAAAGTGGGTAGCTGATGAAAATAGATTAGCAAGAAAGCGAGCACATAACCGATGGAGTTCTATACCGTACATGCGTACATATTGCAATTGAAATAAAAAAATACCTCAAATTTATACATGCCTTTCATAACTTTCCAAGCGTTACAACCTAATTTATGCTGCTATAAGATTTAAAGCTCTCAACTGACTAATATGTTCGTAGATTGTGGCATTTTATTCGATGATAATGGATGACAAATTTCGTGAAGATATCCGAACAAGAAAAAAACAAAAAAATTCAAGGATTGGATTTTGATCGGTCAGCTATATCTTATAGTGGTCCGATAACGGGGATTTCACGGGGAAAGCAGCTTTTTATGTCGAAATCAACCTTATGCAAAACTTCAGTTCGATATCTCCAAAATGAAGAGATTATTTTGTGTATATATAGCATGTAAACATGCAGTTGAACTATAATTTCTACTTCACTGTCTGGCATTGGAATTGAAATTTTTCGGCTTTATAAATAAAAATTTCATAATTTGACAACTCTCAACAACTTAATATTTGCAAACCCTAACATAATTCAATTGAAGGTTTGTTTCTTGGCTGTTACGTATCACTAGCTAGCCAAGTTTCTGCGGGAAACACGTCTCTTAGCCTAAAAAATAGCAACATGGAGTAAAAGCAGAAAGAGGTATTGGTTTTAGCTACTTGTTGGTTTTAGCTAATGAAATAACTAGCAAATAACTATAATTTTTTGTTTGGTTTTCCGTTTTTTACTTGTAGCTTGCAGCTACTTGCAGTTATGAAACAAACCTTGGGAAAGGTTATGTCAATAGCCCAACAACAACAATTACATAAAATATTTTAGCTCATAATGACAATATCAGCTGTTTTGCTTGTTTTGTACATATTTTTCAAACATTCCAGTCAATAAAAATTTGTTTTTTTTAGAGAAAACTGAATATGAGTAGATTGTAAATCACACAAAATCATCAACATGTAAACAAAAAATTAAAAAAAAAACATGAATTGTGCATTAAAAAATGTTTATCAGAATTACTAATTACTTTTGTAAGCATTACTTATTATTTTTGTTACATAAAATAAAATCAAAACAATAAACAAATTCAATCGTGAGTGAAAAATCTTAGCAGATTTTAATTGCTCCTTTTGCCTTAAGCTCAACTTGTTCACATTTAAAAATATTTAAATTTAGAGCATTTGTTAAATCTCTTTTCATTCCGGATGATAACTAATTTCCCTTGAATTGTTTTCACATTTAAATTTGCAATTTTCAATAGAGACATTGCAACAAAATTCCAAGAAATACATAAAAGCTTAGCTGGAACAATTTATGCAAGTATGCCGTTAGCAATATGATCACATATTGTAAACATGAACGAATAAATTGCATTTATTTGTTGCAGAAATATTAATAATACGTATTTGTAGCTTATAAATATTTAAAGATTGCTAAACATACTAAAATATGAACAAGAAGTATAATAAATGTTTATATCATTTGCTATACTTTTTAACTCCTTTGTTCGTGTAGGGTATATGTGCCAAAGTATATCGATATGAATAGCAAAGCATGCAGTTGTGCATAAATATTGCTATTTTAAATGTGTGAGATAAAATGGCACGTGTAGAAGCATTTTTTCTAATTTCGCTCAACAGAACAACTGAACCAATGACCTACTAACACACACAAATAATATACATATGTATATAAGAAAATAGACAACTACTATATTGTTTTATTAAAATAAGTAATTAAGTAGAATAAAACCACAAAATATTAAGCAAATTGAGCGAATAGCAATCAACACTTCATGTTGGTACAATCTACTATCGAACAAACAGAACGATTAAACATATTTATTTAGAGTAATTAAATCACACGGAATGATTAATCATATACAGACATTTGTGATAAATAAATACAATTCGCTTCAATTGGCGTTAAACGGACAGACCCCAAATTTTTTTGTTGCCTGTGAGAATTTTTTTATGAGCGATTAGATACTATAAAGCCGCAATGTTATTATCTAAGCGGTCAACTTTATTAGCATTCCGCTGCGGTTGGGTTGAATGAACTACATACAATATGTATGTATGAAAAAAGCAGAAGAGGTAAATAAAGGCAAAGACAAAACCAAAAACTCAGTAAATACTTGTTTACTTTTTTTGTTTCTTGATTTGGATATACAGGGTTGTTCAAATTATAATCTACACTATTATTTATGCAGTAAGTATTTCAAGTGTAATCAGCATTCGCTTTGTATATTGGTGTGTCTGTACATATATTAAAGATTTTTATTATTCTTTCTTTTCTGCTTTTTCGCTTGTTGGCTATTTTTACAATGTTTTGGTGTATTTTTTTACAGGTGTGTATAGGGAATACATCAGAATTGCTGATGAATAACAAAATAACCAAACACGCGACATTTCTAAAGTGAATAATAATTGATAATTGTTAATTATTAAGTCCGCTCGCATACAAAATAAATTTGGGATTCAATAATTTTTATTTATGCTAATTCCGATTCCTTTGGCATATCACATTTGCAAATGGTTTTCAAGTTTTTTAATTCCCTAATAGTATGCGTGTATAATAGTATTCAGAACATAGAAGGAATTAGGGACAAAAATTATTTTAAACAAAAATAAAGCTATTTCAAAAAAATTAAAGAAAAACCAAAGAGCTTATCGCCGGCCGTACTCACTCAAACACCTTTGCCCAGTTTTTTTTAAGCAAAAAATTCACTAATAATTTAAACGCTTCTCAAGAGTTCAGCGTCATTCGAAGATATACTTATGTATTTGTACTGTCTAAAACATCTTAAAATAATATACTATCTGCAAAACTATAGGAAATAATCCCCAGCACTTGAACGCATGAACCCCTGTTTTTTTTTTTTGTTTTTTGTTTTTGTAGGCTTTAACATAATAAATTTCGCACTTTATTAAAGAAAGACATTTATATATGCTACTATATTATATATACACATTCCCTATATATGCATGTACATATGTACATATTTACATATATTTATATGGAAAATTCTAAGCGAAAAGTCACGTTGTAATCTAGTGATTAATAATGAAGTCAAAGCCCTTGACACATTATCAGCAAACGATTATTTAGAATATGCTATGTGTTAAAATGATTTATACTAATAGTAGGACCCGGCATGCATAACTTAGTTAGCAATTACAAAATCAAAAATACATAAATCAATTACTATTCAAACTTTAAAGTTTGCTAATTATCTCGATGTTACGGAGTAACTGTTTCAATGTATATACTTATTCGAATTTTTGAACATTATAAATTTATTAATTTCATTTTCTCTGTCGAAGTAGGTAACTAACTACATACCAATTCAATATTTTGTATGTATTTAATGTCATCTACTGCTTCACTTGTACCATTAATTTATATGTAATACCTAACAACTGCAAAATTAATTGTAGACTTGTGCTTATACAACATTAATTAACAAGAAACTAGCTTATCTTTCACCGCATACATATTTTTACATCTATGCATCTTCAAAAAATATTCCATTCCTCACACTTCTCTCAGTTACGGACGTGAAACAAAAATTAATAAGGTTTCGCATGCATATAAGCATTTTGTATATTCAATTTTGTATATTCACCTTAATGGAGTCAATTTGAGGCAGGCAATCAGAAGACGTTTTTCATATCCTAAAATCTCACACTTTAAAGGCACTCTCCGCTGCTGGACTTCCCGTTTTTATTTTACCTTTATAAATAATGGTTGCGAGGATTTTCTATTTCGTTTGCCTGATTTTCAAAACTTAGTACATTGTAAATTCTTAAATTGCTGCAAATGCAATCTTTACACACTTCTTACAAAATCCGCATAGGAACGCCAACATTTAACAAATCAACACACCGGAGTAGATACTCGCGACAAACGTAGAATACACAATACACAGCATCTAAAACACTTGCAAGCTCAGCACCAATTCACATATTAATGGAAGCATGCATTTTCAGTTTTATATAAATTAAAACATTTATTTCACTTCTTTGTCAAACTACTTAAACACTAACTATTACAAAAATTCCAACAGACACCGCAATTCAGTTTTGCTTTACAGCAACTATTTCAGATTCTATGGTCGGGAGTTTGATATTTCGACAATTTGACAGTTTGCTTTGTGTTCGCAATTCTTGTTATTGTTTTGAATGAAATGACGGCTGCATTGCCGCTGCGTCGGGTGCTGCCACTTTTTTAAAAGTGAAACTGAGCGCACAACAACTTTTTGGGGTGGTTGAAAAATAGTGGGAATAGAAATTTAATGGTTAAATGTTTTTTTTTGTTTGGTGAAATAGGTTTTGGCTCAGGAGGTAATATATAATGTTATAGAAATGCTTTTGATTTTTTTTTTTAAGAAATAGAAATCATATTATATATATGTAAAAATACTTATTTCTGAAAAAAATAATTTCAACAAATCACTAAAAATTAAGAGTATTTATTATTTAAGTTTTAAATGTTTTTTTGGAACCTTACACTCGAAAAAAACTGCCAAGAAACCAAAAGAACCAAAGAAAAATTCAGCTTAAAGTCAATTACTAAAGCGCACTAAGATTTTAACTTAGAATAAAATTAGTTTTAGAACTTGTACATAAAGGGTGTGAACGAAATTATGGATAAAGCAGCAAATATATTAAATAACATAAAAATTAAACGAATGATTTCACGAACTGCCTTTCCATACCCAGCTTTTCTCATTTTTTTCCTTTTGGGCATTACAAACATTATAAGCATAGGCATAAAAAGTAGTTCTCTTTTTTACTACATTGAAATAAATAAAAATAAACAGAAATAAAGGTAATTTTGCATATGTATGTACGTATGTATATCAATGCTTGTAATATTTACATACATAGTACCTGCCTTCATATCCAACTGTCAGTCATAACTCATCCAATATTCAAATAGAGCAATCGCATCCAGCCACCCCATTCGCTCATAGTATACACACGCCAGCTTTTATTACCTGTAATATATTATACAAACGAATGCACATAAAAATGTACAAACAGACATACAAACACACAGATGTACATACTGTTACGAATTATCTCAAAATTCATGCAATTCCGCAAAGCTTCTAAAACTAAAAGCTCAGTTATGTTTTGATCGCTCTGGTGCATAGTTAAACAAAATTGGTACTCTCCTTAAAAAAAGAAAAGATTTAATTGAAGCCAAACTCCGAAGCTTTGCTTGCGAGCTCGTAATACATACTTGCGCTCGTATATAAATACATATATACATAGATACCTACATATGCCCAGTAAGATAATTGTGGAGTTTGTGCAATGTGGCTCTACGTATTCATCGTCGCTTTGGCTTTTCTTGCCGCCTGGTTATACAAGCTAAATCGGGATTATTGTGTAATGGCGTTTTTTGCCAAGCGCTTGAAGACCGTTGACGGCACACCGTTGGAGCATATTGTACCGCAGGCGAAGGCAGAGACAATATTCGCAAATGTTTTCGATTGTTTTGGCGCTGATAATGGTTAGAATACAATACACACATACACCCATATGTATATGCTATGAACAATAGATAACAATAATAAGTAATAATCTACTAAATTCCAGTTGTACTCTTCGATAGCAGTCGCATCTCCGCGGCCACTCTACGCAAAAGCTATGTGGAATACAATTTATTTACGACTTTCTACAATGTGATTACCGCCGAAGATGCGGAATTATTGCTGAATGATAAGAATCTGATTACGAAAGGTATTGCATACTATTTCCTCGAACCCTTCCTGCACACGGGTCTATTAACATCAACAGGTAATTTGAATGTAATTACTTGAAAGTGGTGTATTTATAATGATAAAAAAAAACCTTTGTATGATGAAATTGTAAATTTTAATTATAATATTTATCCATTACCTGTGCTTTTATAAAAAAAATTCTAAACTTTATCGCAAAAAAATATTTTTTTAGATAAAAAATGGCATACGCGCAGAAAAATGCTAACACCCGCCTTTCATTTTAATATACTTGGACAGTTTGTGGAGGTTTTCAAGTAAGTGATTACTAACAAGTCCATAAAACAGTTATATATTATAATCATTATCTACTTATAAATACATAAAACAATAATTATAATCATTAATTAGTGATAAAGTAAAATGAGTCCTAATATTCTTTCTCCAGTTAAAGATAAAGTAATTATAATTCAGTAAATATGACTATACAATAGACCTTGCAAAGGGTGTTACATTTCGAGACGCCTTACTTTATTTTAAAGAAAAATCACAGAAACTTCAAATTTAATGGAGAATGTTTATTATCATTCCAAAGAACATTCTTTGGCATTTATTTTTTAAGATTATCTCTCTCGAATGCGCGGCTACATCTCAGATGATGATCCGTTCGGCCATTTCGACTGGTAACTAGTGAATAACCCGAGTGATACTTTGCTGCAAGGCCTGAATCAAAGCGGGATTTAGACTTTACATATCCCCACAGGAAAAAGCATAACGGTGTATTATCCCACGATCTTGATGGCCAATCGACCGGCACAAAACGTGAAATTATCTGCTCACCGAAGTGTTCTCTCAATAAATCCATTGATTGAAGCGATGTGTGGGAAGTGGCGCCATCTTGTTGGAAAAAAATGTCGGCGAGATCACGAGCTTAAATTTCAGGTATCAAAAGGGCGGTTATCGTGGCGCCATAACGGTTGCCATTGACGGTTACGTTCTCATTGGCATCATTTTTAAAGAAATATGAATAATTCCACCTGCTCGCAAACCATAACCAACCTTTTTTTTTATGAAATGGCAGCTCTTGAATCTCTTCATGTTGATCTCTTTTCCAAACGCCGTTTGTTTGTATATTTACCTATTGAGACCGAAATGGATCTCATCGCTGAACAAAATTTGGCTCGAATATATCCGATCTTCTTGGAACATTTAAAGAGTCCACAGAGCGAAGCAATATCTCTTGGGAAGGTTGGACATCTTCTGTTCTTGTGTTTAATTTAATTTATAATATTTCAATTTAAGATCTCGACGCAAAATGCGCCAACTCCTTCCATACGTCAGTCCGAGATGCAGCGAACGGCGTCGAATCGACTCTCAAGGGTCTTCGTGTATGTACACTCTCAGCTACTACTGCTATATTTTCTTCACTGATAATATTATCCAATAATGAATGCTGAGTATCAAGATGGATGATGATATTGCGAATAAAACGCTCAGTTGGCCGATTTTGTTGACCATAAATTGAGTGAAGTGCGCGAAACACATTCTTTAGAGAACGTGATTTTTCATAACGAAGTTGTACCAGGCGTAAGTCTTTCCATAATGAAATGCCAAACAATACTGAAAAAAAATAATAACAACACGACAACTTGACACGAATCGCGCGTGATCTGTAAAAGAAAGCTGTAAAAAAGTACCTCTACTTGGTTCACCCGTTATAATGAGTTATTACAGTTATACCGTCCAACAATTATATCTGCAAGTTCTTTTATGCTTTTTATGACATAACGTCTAGACAAGGAAATCCATATAGTGAAGAGTATAGTTAGTATGAACCGGTTAAGATCAAATATGCACCAATTTTTCTCGATAACTCGATACCATTTTGAGAAACTACATATCTCCCTATTGGCCAAAAACTTGAATAGCCAAATAGAAAAGCTTCTCTTGAGGCCAATTTTTACTAGCAAAGCCATACGTCATAGACGGCAACAGGTAGTAATCACATGGCCTCGGGTCCGGGATATAAGCTAGATGCATCAAAACACGCCAGTTAAGGTCCCAGAGCTTTTGAAAATCCACTTTTGATATGTATGGCCTGGCATTCACTTGATGGAACACAATTCTACTCTCATTTGCTAAAGCTGAGCAAGTACTTCTTTCAGACCACCGAATTGTTGCCGGTAATCGCGAACCCGGAGTTAGGCCATAGGGGAGCAGTTCATAGTAAATAATTCACTGCCAATTTCACTTAACAGAAAGCAAAATTTTCTCTTTCATCAGCTCATCGTGATTCGTCCACGTCCGAATTCGTTTCACTTTGTGGACAACTTTTAATCACCGCTTAAGAAATAGACCGACTTTGTTGCGATTCGCAAATCGATCCATAAGTTGTTGTGTGTGTTAAATCGTGTGACATCCATAGATCGAGCTACTTTTTGTATACACCTTTTTTTAAATGGTTCAAAATGGGTTTTTGTGATTTCGAAAAGATTATAAAAAAAATATTAATATTTGTAATAAACCAGCATTAAATTGTATATACAATAATAATTATAATTGTTTGATATTATTTGTTTAACTCATGAAAACTCAATCATTAACTGGTGAATATCGTTTAGAGAGGAAAGCCAAAAATTCGTGGACCAACTGGAGGCCATAGATAGCAATTCGGTCACCGTAAACGAAATTATACCAAAATTTACTTTGAATAACGTTTGTGGTTAGTGAGTATACTATTTATAGGCATATACTATACATAGTTTCCACTTGTGAGTCTGAAAGATCTAACAAATATTAAAGACCAAATATAATTTTTTTCTTTTTGTACTCTGAACACTTCTTTACACGCACAGAGGCCGCTTTGGGCGTTAAACTGGATGAACAACTCGATGACCAAGAATATCGCGCGAGTTTTAAAATGATTGAGGAAGCCTTTATTTTGCGTATCAGTAATCCCTTCTATATGATCGATACTATATATGATATTTTTATGGCACCTAAAATGATGAAACATCTGGAAACCGTGCATGGTTTCTCCAGCAATATCATACACAAACGTCGACAGTTGTTCGCCGCAAAATTGGAGCAAAGTCCGGTTAAAGAGGCAAATGATGAAGAGTAAGTTTGCGCTTTTTCCTTTTATTTATTTATTTTTTTTTATAACTGTTAATTCAATATAGCTTCGGCTTTACTAAAAAGAAGCGCTACGCCATGTTGGACACACTTTTGCATGCTGAACGTGATGGACTCATTGATCATGCGGGTATTTGTGAGGAAGTGGATACGTTTATGTTCGAGGGCTTCGACACCACTTCGATGGCGCTGATATTTGCACTGATGAACCTCTCGCTGTACCCAGAAATGCAGCAGTTGTGCCATCAAGAGTTAGTCGAGCACATAGAAGGTTTGTTAGGCATTACATAGCTCAGATATATGTACACGTATATGGATATGCTTTCTATATCTCTCACACGCAGATGATTTACATAAGCTTGATGTTAATGATCTTGGCAAACTGAAGTACCTGGAGTGTTTTATTAAGGAGACTTTACGTCTCTATCCTTCAGTGCCGGGCATAATGCGCAAGGTAATGCGCGATACCAGTCTGGCCAATAATGTCTTCTTGCCCGCAGACACACAAATCTCCATACACATTTTTGATATACAACGTGATCCCAAGTATTTTCCGGAACCAGATAAGTTCGACCCAACACGTTTTACACCGAAAAACTCAGAGGGCAGGCATCCTTACGCCTATATACCCTTTAGCGCCGGTCAACGAAATTGCATTGGTGTGTTTAGTGTGGTTTATGCGATGATATCACATCAAGTACTATACTGAGATTTAAATTTTTTCAGGTCAAAAATTTGCAATGTTGGAGATAAAAACTTTGCTGGTTTATATCTTGAAGAAGTTTAAAATTTTTCCTTTAATGGATCCAAAAGATTTGCGGTTTGAAACTGGCATTATTTTAAGGACACCAAATGCGATCAAAGTGAAACTGCAGAAGAGATCAAGTTCCTAAACCATCTTAGAACATATGAATGGACGATAAAAAAATACAATATTTGAAAATAACTTAGTATTGTTAATTTATTCTTCTTTAATGCCATTGATATCGCTTACGCGGTTATAGCCGTATTTATAACAGCGCGCCAGTCGTTCTTCCTTTTCACCGTTCGGCGTCAATTGGAGATTCCAAGTGCAGCCATTTTCCTGGAGTGTTTTCAACCATTCGGATGACTTGGCCTAGCCAATGAAGCTGCTGTCTCTTAATTCGTTGAACTATGTTAGTGTTGTCGTATATCTCGCTTAGGTCATTCTTTTATCGGCTGCGGTATTCACCGTTGCCAATGCGCAAAGGACCATAAATCTTCCGCACAACCTTTCTTTCGAAAACTCGTAACTCCGAATCATCAGCTGTTGTTATCGTCCATGCCTCTGCACCATATTGCAGGACGGGGATGATGAGTGACTTGTAGAGTTTGGTCTTTGTTCGTCAAGAGAGAACTTTACTCTCCTTTGTCTACTCAGTTCGAATTAGCTCCTTTTGCAGGAGTTATTCTGTTTTTGATTTCGAGTTTGACATTGTTGTTGATTGTAATGCTGGTTCCAAGGTAGACGAAACTATCTACAACTTCGAAGTTATGACTGCCAGCAGTGAGGTTGGGCAGGATATTCGTAGTATTTCTGAAGTAGGTGCTTGGTTTGAGATCTAAAGTACAAGGGAAAAGCAATAGCGGGATCTTCGCAAACCGGACACAATTTTTTTTTCGATCAAGCACTCTGTACCAAAATTTGATCATTGTTTGAGCTTTTGCATCAAGGTGTACTATACATATTTTTATAGAACCCTTCCTTCGAATTATCTAATAATTACTGTTCAAGATCGTCAGTTCCCGAGATATTTAAAGTTTACCTAGGGGTTAGAGAAATTCAGTCCCCAATATTGCCGAGGTGAACAGGAATCCAGGGATAAGCATCTTTACGGATAAATCCAAATCAGATAACAATCTTTTTCTGACAAGGGGTTTTAAATCACTTTTCGGGTTCCGTCAAAGATAGTAAAAGAATACCTTGTTCTCTTAGTGGTTCTAACATCCTATTTCACGATAAACCTGCAAGGGGTTCCAGGACATAGTGGTATTCCTGGTGACTGTGAAGCAATGCGAGCTTGCTAGACCAGGTACCACTTCACATTTAGACTCCAGAAAAGAGGGAACTTGTATGCCTCTGACTACTTGTATATACATACATATTTAATCGCTGTTATGAATAAATGTTGGCTGAGTCTCGTTGGAGGTAAACCCCAATTTGGATTTTTTGCGGAAGGCAAGTCTACCAAGAGCTAGAACATCCTCTATGCGACTGTAGGGCCTAATTTATGAAAAAAATCGTAACTATCAGGCGAGAGTTTCTTGACTATGTTTCGGAGGTTGCACAGATAAAACTTTTTGCACTGATGTTTCTTCGAAAGCATGAGGTGGTTGAGAGAGGGGACTGTGGAGTAAGGAGATTTTTGTGGCAATGTTTCGTAATGGATCTCTTGAAGGCGTACCTACCGACCTGCCTATTTTTTCGTTATCGCCTAACATTATATAAGTATATAGCGTTATTATTAAAACATTTTTCGAAGAGTGAAGGAAATGAAATGGACAAAATTCACCTTTCAATTCGATCACAGTAGTATATTAAGCATTTACAATCTATAAACTACTTAATTAGGAAGTAAAAAAAGTTTACCAGCCGGTAGAAACAATTGTTTATTATTTAATCCCGTAAATATATACATATACATGTCTATACCAGTTACTGATTAATTTTATTACATAGTATATAAAACTAGTAAACTTTTTAATTTAAATCTCGCGCGAAAACACTGTCGTTGAAATTTTTTTTTTTCTAAGTTGGTGTGAATAGTGTCACATCAAAAAAATATTTGGTGTTTAGTGATCACATTGAATGCTTTTCCGGAAACTGACTTTAACAACTGTTTCGAGTATTGGAAAAAACGTTGGCACAAGTGTTAAGGCCAAGGGAGGTTACTTCGAGGGCGACAAAGATTTTGAAGAATAAGTTAAGAATTTTAAAATTATAAACAAAATCTTACTATTTTTTTCTTTTGTATATCTTTTGGCAGGACCAAAATGTGTCATGTTGGAAATGAAGACAATGGAATTAAAACATTATAGAGACTTTTTAAATTCTAACCCCAAAGAAGGACGAGGATATGTATAAGGCTGAAACCAAATGTCGTTTAAGTGAAATTCTAATTAATCATCAATCTTTATTTTATCGCCTTCAAAGTAATTCGTCCAAATTTAATACACATGTATATGTCAGCGATTTTTCGAGTAATCGAAACACTTTTCATAAGCACTTTTTGGTATGGCCTTCTGCTCCTTCTGCGAATTTTGTTATATCTCTTCGATCGACAGGTGCTACGAAGCGGCAATTACTGTTTGGGGAATAAGAAAAAATTACTCGAGCCCAAATCTGGTGAAATCGGTGGTTGATGGATGGTATTCATTGCATTTCTGGGCCAAAGAGACCGGTTTACGATACTTTTTTCTGCTTTATCAGGACGAGTCGAGCAAGAACGCGGTTCATACCCAAAATATCCAACAAAATTATTCGAACGGACTCGCGAGAGATGTCAACGGGTAGTATGTATTTCCAACTTCTCACGTTGTATCAGTTAGCTATGGTTTCATAACTTTTACTCACGGACTATATACCGATAATAATGAAAAGCTATGAAAGTGCTTCATTAATAGTAATTAAAAATCAGCTGATCCGGAAAGCCTTTACGATTTATTTGAGATAAAAAAAAAAATAGGAAAGCTAAGCCAAATTTGCGGAGATATAGTCAATTAAAATTCATCCCTGAGTGAACAATTCTATTCTCTCATTCTATTAATTCATTGTCTCCTTGCGGTGTTCCATCTGGTGAGCAATTCATACACCTTTTCCGACGGCTTGTCTATTGCTTACCATATGACTTAATCAAGCCAGCAAGTTCTGATTCTAAAGAAGCGACAGCCGATATTAGGGCCGTTAGAATGTCTTGTCGTCTCTTTCTGAATATGGCCTTGGCCTTTGTTTGTCGAGAGAGAACTTTACTCCTCAATTGCCTACTCAGTCCGAAGTAGCACCTGTTGGCAAAAGTTATTCTGCATTGGATTTCTGACGTTGTGTTTTGTGTTAATGCTGGTTCCAAGATAGATGAAATTAACTACGACTTCAAAGTTATAACTGTCAACAGTGGCGTGTGAGCCAAGTCGCGAATGCGATGACTATTTGTTTGCTGTTAGTAGATATTACGTCTTGCCCTCGTTTACAACCAAACCCATAAGCATCGCTTTCCTATCCAGTCTGGAGAAAGTAAAAGTAACGGCGCGGTTTTTGAGACCAATGATATTACAAGGACCAATTTTAAAACAAAATTTAATGTTGACTCTTTGTTCGAAGCTCATATTCGCACTGATAACACAAACATACTGACACTTAAAACGCAATAACTTCACTTCCAATCAATGATATGTCATGAAATTCTCACTGGACAATCGATAAAGATAGCAGATTCTAACGCACCACATCGAGTTATAGCTGGTGCCACCAGGGGATTCAAAAAGTCCTCTTTACTTTAGAAGGCACCTTGTAATAACATCGGCGGGCGCCACCAACTGTACACTCTAATATAAGATTGCACCTTGTCGCTTTAGCTCTAAAGTTCGTTATATTTTCTCCAGAAACTGATCAATCAAAATCAAATGCATGAAATCTTTTGTATTTATGAAGGCTATTATAGCATTACAAGCGACATTGAACTTTCGGCACTGACTAGATTAATACGTATTATACCAAATAAGTGAAAAAGTTCAGCAACACCACATTACATATATTTATATCTTATAAGCAACTTTCTAACGAACACTTTATTCTAATTGACTTTCATTTTTCTTAATCCTTCTAATTTGAATTGTAACTTATACGTCATGGTGTTCTGGACGTTAGTGATTGTGTGGTGCCGATATTATTTACTAAGCGAGTGAAAAGAGTTGACGGCACGCCCTTGGAGAATTCAGTGGCGCGCAATATTTGGCAATGTCTTTGATTTCGAGCCTCTGATAAATGTGAGTTTGTATGTTCATTTAGACATTATTTCAGGAATTGCTGTCTCATTAAAGAGAAATGGTAGCATGATTTTTTTCAGCAGTGGACACATTTATGGTTGAAAGTTTCGACACCAAAAGCGCCATCGATGCTTTTGTTTTCACTTATGAACTTTTCGCTCTATCCAGAAATGCAAGAGCGTTGCTATCAAGAAATACTTGAAAATGTTGAAGATTCGTACCCCATTGCTTGGTTATGTCTTCGCCAGTTGACAGTTATAGCGCGTGAGGTTGCGAATGACACCCACCTTGCCAATAACGTAATATTGCCGAAAGGTTCTCAAATAACCATACATATAATAGATATACATCGAAGTGCTAAGTACTATGCGAATCCTAATAAATTCGATCCGGAACATTTCACGGCTGAAGCGTCAGTCGGTCGACATCCTTTCGCGTACGTGCCATTCAGCGCAGGACAAAGAAATTGTATCGGTATGTATTGCAGGCTTTACTTTTCTTCAAATATGTATGTATGTATGTTAAATTATGTATCTTTTGGTAGGACAAAAATTCGCTATGCTGGAGCTCAAGACGGTTTTAATTAACATCATAAAGAAATTCAAAATTTCACTTCTAAAGAAAATCAAGATATAAAGCGCGAAGCCGGCATAAATGTAAGGACACCAAATACCATTTGAGTTCAGTTAGAAAAGAGAGTTTGGCGTTTTACAAAAAGTATGTTATGTTGTGTTTAATTAAAGGAGATATTTTAAAAGGTCAATATTCACAAACAATTTGAAGTATTCTGAAAAATGTGACATCATATTGCTTCAAAAAATGGAAAAATATACATATGTTTATTACTAAATATTGTTTAATTCTGTCTGAAATGAAATACGACTGACACCAGTAATGACGTCATGACCTGCACTAAATATTTTGTGATACTCAAATACTTGTGTACCTGATAAAATATATTCCCTAAATATTTCCACGATTCGATTCCACGTGGATTATCACGACAAGGATCGATGAACTAAAATCTTTGTATGAGTATGGCTATGAAGCACCATCCTATAGCACTGTGAAAAACTGGTACAACGAATTCAATCGTGGCCGACGCTCGCTCAAAGATGAATTCCGTGAAGGTCGTCCAAACGGCTGTTGCCAGAAAACATCGATGCCGTACGTGAACTGATAATGCAAGACCGTCATGTAATATACCTTCAGATAGAGGCATGCCTATGTATTTTACATTCGATATTGCATGAACAGCTGGCCCCAAAAAAGGTTTGTTTTCGTTGGATCGCGCACAATTTGACAATCGTTCAAAGAAAGGCTCGTGTGGATTGGTGTAAAGACATGCTGAAAAAATACGATCGCGGTGCCTTAAATGGATCTATGCGTATGAGCCCGAAACAAAACAGCAATCGACCGWGTGGGTCTTCCAAGACGAGCCAAATCCAACGAAAGTTGTTCGTGGAAGAAGCACTTCGAAGCCTGTTTCTTCGGCAAAACTGGTCATGTGGCGACTGTTTTGCTTGAGCAACGTAGGACGGTCAATTCTGAGTGGTATACCATCATTTGTTTGCCTGAAGACTTCGGAGAAATTCGAAAAACGAACAAGAGACCACGAATCATTGTGCACCATGACAATGCGAGCTCTCACACATCGGCTCAAACCAGCGCCTTTCTCACTGGCCAAAACGTCGAATTGATGGGTCATCCGCCGTACAGCCCTGACTTGGCACCCAATGACTTYTTTTTATTCCCACACATCAAGAAAATAATGCGTGGTCAACGATTTCGCTGTTGAAGCATTCAAAAACCATGTTTTGGAGGTGTCTCAATCGGAGTGGAAAAAGTGCTTCGAAAACTGGTTTGAGCGCATGCAAAAGTGTATAAATCTTGATGGAGAATATTTTGAAAAACAATAAAACCATTTTCGTTGATAAATATTCCTATTTTCATCATTAGGCCAGAAATATATATAGCAGCCCTCGTATTCATGGTAAAAATGGCTAGCCAAAATTCAAGCTGCCAAACACACACTAATTGACAAATGGTAAACAAACTTCATAAAATTAAAAAAAAAAGAGTTTATCATTTTAGGAAACATTTTTATGGATTAGGTTTAAGCGTAAATTTTATGTTGACCAATCCGGATCGAATTTGATCAAATGGTATACTTATATTACTTCGGCCTAGCAAGGGTTAAGTGAATGCATTCTGATAAAATAAGCTATTTTAATAAAGTCGATAGCAAGAATTGTACTAGCGTGTGTTCATATATATGTACATATATACAAATATATGATATGAATGACAGGGTACATTTGTAATAAAACAAGTATGGAAGGGCGAAGTTCGAGTGTAACTAAAAACTTCATATTTTTGCAACTTGCTACGACCATTGCAGGCGAAATACCTTCGGGTGTATACGGTTTGTTAGTTCCTATAAGGGGTATAGGGAAAATTTTTAACCGATTTTGTTTCCTCCAAGCCCAAAAATGCAAATATTACCCTTAAACATTATTACTATCTTAATTTACTGCTAGTTTATTTCTTTTAAAAATTGATGATTAATGACCTTTTGTAGACATGAGATTGGTCCGGTTACGCTCATCTAAGGACTGATCCTCACTTTGACAAGTAACACGCGTATCAAGTTTCTTTAAGACATCTCAATTTTCACTGAAGTTATCGCTTGTATAGACGGACAAACGAACCGATCAACAGACAGACAGTCACTCGGTATTCAGCTTGTCTCACCATCCTTATCATTTATATCCTATATRTAACGCCATATCTATGCCAATTAGTTTTAGGAGATACCAACAACCGTTAGGCGAAACAACTATTATACTCTGTGTCAACATATTGCAAAAGYAAGAAAAACTGAATAAAATAGTAAATCGTGTTCTTTGTTATCGGAATTTTATAATAAGTTAAAACCGGTCGTCACACTCTTCTGCACCTATTAATAACAAACTACTAACTTTAGAGCTAACTAACTTACTATTTATTYATTTAAACATATGTTTTAGTCACCGACATATACATGTATTAAACACAACCAAGTCAACCAAATTGACAGATTTGATAAGCAAGCGAACTTTAACGGAATAATATCGTTTATATATTAGGAAAATTACCACGTCCACTTAATTATATAACTTTATTGTTACTATTATTGTTGCTCCACCGTCCGTCCGTACGTCTTCGGTACGTCTGTCTGTGCAAACAATAACTTGAGCAAAAATTGATGAAATTTTGTGTTTCTTAATGAGGTTATTGCATAAGGGTGGTATCGAACCAAGCCATCAAAATACGTTGGTCTCGCCTCCTTATAAGTTTAATGTGCATATCTCACAAACCACTAAATCTATTATAACATTATAAATTGCTGATTGCTAAACACTACAAACAAAATGTAAAAATCGGACTTAAAATATGAGCGCCATTCTCATTTAGCTCAAGCAGCTGACGGCATCCGGTCTTAGACCAGATATCCTCTGTGTAGTTAAAAACATCCGCCGTCCCCGAAATGCGATTGACGGGACAAGGACAAATTCGGTGTCGGATTTATGGTTGAAGAGAACGTCTAGCCACAATCTGTTTCATAGTGAATATCTTCAACATATCGCGGATAAGGGCCGATACCGGAAGGAAAGGCCAATATGACCAAAGATGTTTCTCCCAAAATCGTGCTTGGATACTTTAACAGCCTCCACGATGAAATATCCCCAGATGGGTTGAGGCTGTTTGACTTCGCCGAGGTCCGAAATATGGTTATCTGTAGTACTAGATTCCAGCATAAGAAGATTCATCAAGCTACGTGGCTGTCTTCGGATCGAAAACCAGTTCGAACCAACCAGATCGATCATGTGGTAGACAGAAGACGCGTTTCCAGTGTCTTAGACATGCTTAGACTCCGTGGTCCTAGCATTGAATCGGACCACTATATATTTGCAGCCAAGACCCGCCTCTGCGTGTCAATGCACGTCAACAAACACAAGGAAAGTTCGACGTCGAGAAGCTGCAATCACAACAAACAGCTGAAAAGAAAATCGTTGATCTCAATTTGCCCTCCTGCTCTCTCAGATCATTACTCAGCAACTTGGAATAAGGGAACGGTGAAACGGCATTTCAAGAGAGACCAAAACGCGTGACTACGATGAGCATGATATGCTGTCCGACAGCGGTAGTGCTCGAACTCGGCTATAACACGTAAACAGTTTCTACGCCAATAAAGAAGAAGTAGACTATACAGATGTAAATAAGTTATAAAAATACCCCCAACTAAGCCCTTCCTGACGTGTTTAAAAAAAATTTCTTTTGTTTTATGCATATATTTTGTTTCTATTTTTTATTACTTTATTTCCTTCCATTTTTAGATTCGTGTGGGTATGTTTTGTTGAGTAACCTAGTTAACCAAATGTGGAAAGATCCGAATGTTTTTTTGAAAATCAACTATACCAACAGTTTCTCAAAATAGGGCTTCGAATAAAAATCTCGCAAACACACACATTAGAAACCATGGAAATGTTTGATTTTCTATAACTATTAGATTAAAAAAAACGATGAATATATCCGTTATTATGAGTTAGCCTAAAAGTTTTCAAAAACATTTATGTTCATTGTTTCGAACCATGACAATGAGTAGACAATTTTCCTATCACCAAATTTTCACCACGAACACTGTGAACTTCATAAGCATCTGGAATAGCTTTTTATAGATTATAAAAGACTTTGAACTAACGGTATAAAATGTATTATTGCTTCCAATCAAATAAATATAAACGTGTTAAACGACTTTACAAAATTGCAACTCAATGCGCAGCCAGTATAGCCGGCCGGTTGAGCAGTGGGTGAAAACATATCAAACATAACTCGCACATATATACCTACACATATAAATGTATATATCTATTCTGCAATATTTTGAGTTGTATATTAGTCATACTTACTTTACACACACACATACATATGTTTGCTCGCTTATCCATATCAAAGTAAGAACAAATATTCTGATTGCTGATAAACAATGGCACGCTCTTGATTTCATTGTTAGCGCTTACTAGACTTGATTAGTTCTATGCAATTTCAGTAGCAATTTCGCCTTCCAAGCGAGCACGTATTTTTTTATTTTTATATTTATTTWTTTTTTTTGGTTTTCCTTGAGTATTTTGTTTATTGTCATTTTTTGTTGGACATTGAAAAATTGCATTAGTTTGAATTGTAACGCATACGCCATGGTGTTCTGGACGTTAGTGATCGGCGCGATCGTAATCGCTTGGCTCTACAAACTAAATAAGGATTATGTGGTGCTGGCATTATTTACTAAGCGAGTGAAAACAGTTGACGGCACGCCCTTGGAAAATTCAGTGGCGCTGCCCAAAGGACGCACAATATTTGGCAATGCCTTCGATTTGGCTTTATCCCCTGATAACAGTAAGCTTGTGGGTTTATTTAATGTTGCGGAAATTGCTGTGTCATTAAGGAATGAGCGCATTATGATTACATAAGTGGACTGCATTGTTAATCCATTACTTGAATGAAAATGAGTCGGCATTTTCAATTATTTTCAAAAAACTCGCGGACTTTAACTTCTAAAACATACTCTTAAGAGTATACATATATTATATTTATTGTGATCATCCACTTTTATTGTTCATATTGTAATATTGCGTTAAATTTACAATTTATAATAATTGTGGGTGTCTTCATCACAGTTCAGTAATTGGTTCAAAGTTCATACAATTGATGTACATACATATATGTACATATACATATATAAATTTGTGACTTTGAATTGAAACATTACATCAGCAACGATTTCGGTATTTTATCTTAACTCTTTGATGACTACTATTAAAATTGGCATTGTGTTTTATTCGAAAAAAAAAACAAGTTTGAAAAGAAGTTTGAAAACTTAGTAATCTAACCTGTTGACAAAGCTTTAAAGTAAGAACTCATTAGTTGACGAACCCGTTAATGGCGTACAATAAAATTTGGTGACTTTTCCAATATATTAAGATTACAGTACAGTACACGTAGCTCGATCGCTAAATTATCGTTTCCAAAGTATTTATTGCAAAATCAACCACATTTACTGAAAATGAAATATCACATGCCACAAGCCATGAAAGGCTTAACCAGAGGATCGGAATTTATCAGAATTGTGATATATGGTTCAGACCTGCCTATATACCAACTACGCTAATGCATTAATATAATTGCATAGTTGAAAAAAAAAACCGCTGGAAAACCGTAAATCATTATACAGGGTACATTAGGGCAGATAGCTTTTTGCATTGACCTTTGACATTGTTCAGATATACTCGTGAGTTCAAGCAAAAACGGTTTGGGATATCAATAAAATTATTTATTCCTGTGAAAATACACTCGATGCCATTATCATATGAATGCATCTCGACTTCTTTTGCATGGCCCCACGTTCACGCTTGCAGCAGTCCTGACTTTCAACGAAATTTTCGCTGCTTTTCAAGCATAAATCGCCTGATATTGCTGCAATTTCACTTCGATATTCGTGCAAAGTTCATCAATCGTCGCTGAGTTGTTGGCATAGACCATATACTTGAGATAGCCCCACAGGAAAAAGTGCAACGGTGTCAAATCGGTCGTGAGATAACAATTTCACCAAACGTGGTTTTCAATAAATCGACTGTGACATGCGCTGTGTGGCTTGTGACGCCGTTATGGTGGAACCACATTTTCTCCATATCAACCAATTTGGTTGTAATTCAGCGGTAATGATTCCTATTTAAAGTAACGTGCCAGTCTTGATCAGCACGGAAGAAGTACGGCCCAGTGATGTTGCCGGTCCATAACCTGCACCAAGCCGTAATATTTTCGGAATGCAATGGTGACTCATGGAGTACGTGTCGATTGCTGACTGACCAATAACATATATTTTGCTTAATGGTGAAGCTATTCAGACAGAAATGAGCCTCAGCGCTGAGATGATTTTTCGTTGAAAATCCGGATCATTTTCAAATTTCAAATTTCTGGTGATAAAGTCGTTTCAGTTTCTGCGTCAATTTGATCTTGTATGGATATAGGCCAAGATCTTTTCGCAAAATTCGTCACAATGACGTCACAGGGATGCCCAACGCATGAGAATGGCGAGTGAAAGACTGATTTGTGTCTTCCTTACACATTCATAAATATGCCATATAAGTACATAACAGAGAGCTGCAACGAGTATGATAAAATCAGAACAAAAAGTCGTGCCAAAAACACAATCAAATCAATTCAGTTCAGCATAGACAACATTGTTAATCAATTCGAGTAGCCGCCAGCGTCGACTGATCTGATGCAACAGGAACAATCTGTTCTTCGGCAATCACGATCGTGTAAACGGTATGGCTGGCTTCGGTTGCAATCGTATCATGTCAGTTCATAGCGTTGCGACGATTGTTTGATGTGCAGAACACAATGTTCGCGACAGACAGCAGCTGCACGACAGTGAATTGAAAATGGCGTTGTGAATCTGAACTACATGAACGTTAGTGAGAGGGCAGCAACATAACAATGGCCGGCTATGATTCAATTACCACCATTTTTAAACCTGAGATTTCAAACATTGAAGCCACTATTTGCGCAAAGTATTAACCCAATATCTTCTTTGATATACGATTTGTTGTTGTAACGGGTAGTAAGGATTAGCAAGTTGTCGTCGACGTCATCGAAATGTGCTGTTCCGTCGTGGTCCGACCATAGGAAGGGGGGTATCAGATAAGTGGAGTTAGTGCGGCATGCAAAGAGTGCCCAGTGTTATGCGGAGACTCATTGCACGCAGGACATACATATGTATATTAGATACGTCGCGCTCTATTCTGGATAAGTAGGAGTTTAACCTGTTACAGTGTCCACTCAGTGATCACTCTTGATTCTCGCGGCAACTCGAGCTCTTCGGCTACAATGGGTGGTGGTTTGACTTCACCTGACTTGGTAAAGGTGTTGATGGCTTCGCTGTGAATGGCGTGTAGTGCTTGTCGGAAATTAGTTGCGTCCGAAGTATGGTCGGCGTATTCTTTGATATCGTTGACGTAGTTGAGGAATGACCTCTTGATGCTTCTGATAGACGATTCCGGTCCAAGCAGGTGACTGCAGGGATGATTTCAGCGAAAGCACTCCAGCAGGAACTGCTCCAGAGGAATTCATTATGCTCCTCAACTGGGAGCATGCAGACCCTACTATGCAGGTGTTCAATAGGAGACATCTTGTCATAGCCGGGAGTGCAGTATTTTAACAAGTCTGAAGCTTCCTCGTCTGCGCTTATTGTATCCAGGCGTACATATTTGTGCGGCCTAGTTAAGGACTGGCCGACCAATTGCCTTGCATGTTGTCAACAACGTTTCTTTGTCCTTTAACCATGAGCTGGCGGCTAGCAACTTGAGGATTTTGTTGCGGCTCCGTACTTTGACAATAATCGCTGACGTGTGAAGAATGAAGAAGCACAGACTGTCAAAACTCACACCTAAAATTTTAGGATTACTGACAGTCGACCATCGGCTGCAATATTAAAGTCAAATATGTACCCTTTCGTCGAGAGAACGATTGGTATTACAGTATATTTAGATGGAACTTAAATTTAAATTTTCCATATATAGGAATTTTAAGTTCCGTGGTTGTGATACCATTTCGTCGATTTTTACCTGGTAACATACCAATGTCGAAAAAACGCATTCAATAGTTTTCACCGTAACAATTATATGGAGACTGGACATGATTACTATCCGATTTCACCCCTATTCCCATCGACTGAGAAGGTACCGAAAGGTTTCCTCCTTAGCAGATTGCAGGTTTGTGGATATGTTAGGAGATTGAGCCAAGCTCACTTTTAAAATTTTTCAGACCACAGCTGCCCCTCTTACTAATGCGAACCCTTGTATAAAATAACATTTCCGTATCGTAATTTAGAGCTTAGTTATAATACTTTATAGGCTTTCGGTAATCACATTTTGTAGGCGTGCAATGGACCGATTCCTATCTACAATAGCAATTCTTCCTGGATGCCACGGAATACCTGTAATAAGTTTCATTAGGACATCTTAATTTTTAGTCAAGTTATCACTGAGAGACGATTGGACAGTCACCCAGATCTCGTCATCCTGATCACTTTTATATGTATGTGTATGAAAAACAGTAAATTTTTTTAATTACTTTGCAGTGTTCGACTTCTCGCGCAAACTTGCTGCCGAAATGAAGCGCAGTTATCTACAATATGGACTATTCACATCTTTTTACAACATAATCACCGCTGAGGATGCCGAACTAGTGATGAACGATCAGAGTCTGATTAACAAGAGTATTATTTATAATTTCTTGGTACCGTTCTTGAATAGAGGACTGCTGACGTCATCAGGTACAGTATTTATTTCAACATACAATTATATTATTTAGGCTAAATATTACATTAATTTCGCCAATGTCTTAGGCAAAAAGTGGCACTCTCGTAGGAAAATGCTGACTCCTGCCTTCCACTTTAATATACTTGGACAATTCGAAGAGATTTTTAAGTGAGTTTTTGTTAGTGTTAATAAAATTTAAATAAAAATATATATGTTTGTGTATATATTTGTTTCAGAGAAGAGAGCAAAAAATTTGTGGAGAGTTTGGAAGCCAGCGATTTAAGCGCTGTAACTTTAAACGAAATCATACCAAAATTTACACTGAACGCCATTTGTGGTAAGCTTTAAACAACAAAATATCTTCCAATACTTTTTAGTGATGAATTTTAGTACCAGAAATTAACCGAAAAGTGGGCATTTTAAAAAATGAAAGGATGATAGATACATATAAGATAATAAACGATACCTTGAAGTCTTCTTTATTAGTGCAGACACGGCTTACGCGGCTATAGCCGATACTTTTAAGTATGTAGTCCGCGTCAAATTTGCTGAGATTCTGGTAGACACTTATTGTGTAGATAATTTAAGAAGCAAACTCCGAAATAACCTCCAAGAATTTTAATAATAGTAAGGCGTTCAAATAAACATCTTTCGGAACGTCATAGAACTTGTTGTGGATTCATATTTTTAGAATTTTATCTATCGAAACCTGGCTTAAAGTTGTCAGGCCTAATAAATAACAGTTCATCTTAAAGAGATAATTTCTGTTTTTCGGCTTTACTGAGTAATATGTATACATTTTCTTCAATCCTTTACCTCGCTTTACAGAGACCGCATTGGGTGTCAAATTGGATGAGCAAATGAATGCAGATCAATATCGCGCCAGCTTCAAAATGATCGAAGAAGTATTCTTGATGCGTTTCCGTAATCCGTTTTATATACTCGATTCCGTATACAAAGTATTTTTAGCGCCTAAAATTGCGAAACACATTTCAATTGTACAGAATTTCTCCAGTGAAATAATTGACAAGCGACGTCAAGTATTTGCGGCACAGCCAGATCATAGTGAAGACAAGGCGGATGACAACCAAAGGTAAGTGGGTTTGAAATAAAATAATTATTTATTAAATAATAACCATTCATACTTGTATTAGCTTCTATACGAAAAAACGCTACGCCATGTTGGACACACTCTTGCGCGCCGAACGCGATGGCCTCATTGATCATGTGGGCATATGTGAAGAAGTGGACACATTTATGTTTGAAGGCTACGACACCACATCGATGGCGCTTTTATTTTCACTTATGAATCTTTCACTATACCCAGAAATGCAAGAACGCTGCTATCAAGAAATACTTGAAAATGTTGAAGGTTCGTACCCCCATTGCCTGGTTGTGTCTTTGCCAGTTAACATAAAGTTTCTTTCTCATTCGCCAACAGATGATTTGAGCCAATTGGATATTCAACAGCTGGCCAAACTGAAGTATCTGGAGTGTTTCATAAAGGAGACCCAACGTCTATACCCGTCAGTGCCGGTTATAGCGCGTGAGGTTGCGAATGACACCCGCCTTGCCAATAACCTAATATTGCCGAAAGGTTCTCAAATAACCATACATATAATAGATATACATCGAAGTGCTAAGTACTATGAGAATCCTAATAAATTCGATCCGGAACATTTCACGGCTGAAGCGTCAGYCGGTCGACATCCTTTCGCGTACGTGCCATTCAGCGCAGGACAAAGAAATTGTATCGGTATGTATTGCAGGCTTTACTTTTCTTCAAATATGTATGTATGTATGTTAAATTATGTATCTTTTGGTAGGACAAAAATTCGCTATGCTGGAGCTCAAGACGGTTTTAGTTAACATCATAAAGAAATTCAAAATTTCGCCTCTGCAGAAGGATCAAGATATAAAGCTCGAAGCCGGCATGATTATAAGGACGCCAAATATCATTAAAGTGAAATTGGAAAAAAGAGTTTGAAGTTATTTTATAAATTTAAAAGAATTGTTTTCTAACACTTGTGAGTATTTGACAGCTGTCAACAGAACAGCTCTCTTGCAACCAATTCAACTCTACGTTCAAGCTTTCTAATTTACGTGTAAAAAAATATTAAAATAATACTTTTGTGTTTAATTTATTGTGGTTATTGCCTTATTTAAGTTTACTCTGGAATTGTATTATATATATCATTGTTCAAGAATTATATATAATTTTTTAATAATATCTCAAAATGAATTGAATTAAATTACTAATTTTAAAATGTATGATTTTAGGCTAGATTTGCAATTAAATCGTGACATTTTCACGATTCCACTTTAAGTACACTCGATATCCAATCCAATATACTAATTTTACAGTTGTAAAAACCGCAATCGCCGGAACTTCTGCCGATCTTCTCTGCTTCTATATATTGTACACTTTGTGGCGTCGCTTGGTCAACGGAGCTGCTAGGGCTAGATATGCATAAAATTCATTATTTTCTTATTACTATCTGACTTAGCATTTAAACAATATATGGTATATAAAAAATTATCGTAAATACCTCAGCAGAATATGCACAATCTGTTCAAAGACACCATGAAGTCGTTGAAAACTCAGCGAGCTCGCTTCACATATTGCCTTAAGTACGCATTCAGTGCCGCTATAGCCGTAGCTTTAATAAAAAAGTATGAAACAACTTACACATTTTTTTTCTATTATAAATATATGGATTAGATTTTACAAATATTTAAGTGAAGTTATTTAGAATCGATTATTCAGATTTTTAAGCCATACACTCTTAGGCAAAGTTGTTCAGAACGATCCATAGAACATTTTCCGCTTACTCGATTTCTCATATTTTTTTTTGATCCCTGTAAATCAAATTACATTCGAAAAGGCCAACATATATCTCATATCAGTTCATCACCATCCAAGTTTCTGGGCTTTATAAGAGGACAGGGATGATAAGAGACTTACAGTGTGTGTTCGTTGAGAGAAGAATCTGCTTCTCAATTGCCTACCGATCCAAAAGTAGCACTAAGTTGTTAAGAGTTATTCTGCGCTTAGTTTGTTGGTGATATTTGTATTACTTTCATGAGAGACAAGTTCTTTCGAATTCTTTCAAATTTAAAGCAGCGAATAGTGATGTAATTCCTAAGATACTGGAAATCTTGGTAGGTAACCTCTTTACACTCTGTGTTGCCGTCGTTTGCTAWTTTATCTAGGCTAAGGCCTACGATGTCAATATCAAATTCTAACTAAATTAACATTGTCTTTTTAGAGTAGATAGTGCCACGGCGGTGCAGATTAGCAACGCGTATTACCTATTCCAGCATTACATTGAAGAGGCGCAAGAGGTTACCACCCTGTCTAAAACCTCGTCAGGTGTAGAACGAATCGGTGAGGTCGTTCTCGATTTTGACCGAACCTATAGTTTTGCTCAACTTCATTCTGTGTAACTATACGAGTTTACCAGGGATAGTAGAGATGGTGTGGAATAGACTGCTCCTGACAGTGATATTGATAACAGAAACCGACAAAAAGATGAAGAGTGTCGACCTATTCGTCATGGGTCTTCTTAAGAATTTGACGTGTTGTAAAAATTTGGTCTATGGGGAATTTTGCCAAGACCTGGCAGGATCTCCATTTATATGGATAGGGCAGAATACACTCATATTCCGTGTATTCATTGATCCAAGCAAACTTAGCCGATAATACATCGACTCCTGGAGCATTGTCGCTCTTAAGCTGATTTTACCTCATCTTGATAGAGTAACACGACGATATTGTCGTCATGGTAAATAATTGGTTCCGGTTCTTTGTCATCAGTTGAAGCACTGCTTTTGACATTTATTCGTATCTGGTACGGTACTTTACGTACATAATTAGGGATTTTCATACATTCGCCTAAGTTTAATGTTCAATGCTAACACTTCAACCTCACGCAATGATTTTTCGCTTTCCGGCTGTATTTAGGATTCGACAAATCCTGTAAATATGACTTCGGCTTTAGCATTTGAAAAGTTCCCGCAACAGCCAGTTTTCGTAATTATTACCCTTGTAATTATCTTCTTAGATTGGAACCGCCTATTAGGAGCATGCAGAAATCATTCCTGGATTAGGTCGACGACAAAGATCCGACTACAAACTACATATGCAACACCTTCACCCACTCGATCCCAGTGAATGGCGCACTTGTATTCAAACTGCGAGACAATGCAGGAAGAGAGCGATTAATATGTTAAACTTCAACAGATACAGACTCTGTGTGCAATGGGTCAACGCATCACTCTAACCATCTCTTTCATGCACAATAAATCACACTCATCTCAAAAACCCTCTCTGTATGATTCGATGCAGCACTTTTCCGGTTCTGTATATACGCAAACCATGTACTCCTTCAGTTTTTGAGCTATCGATATGAAATTTTTCACTCATCTTTTTTTCTACAAGGAACTACTAGCTGCCATACAAACTGACCGATCAAAATCAAGTTTTTGTATGGACAATTTTTTTATTTGTTGAGATATCTCTCTTTAAACACGAATTATTGCTTAAAGTAGCGCAACAATCTTCGAAGCTCTTAAGCAGATCGGACAACTACAGCATATAGCTGTCGTACAAACTGACCGATAAAGATTGGTCTTAATATGGAAAACTTTTTATTTGACGAGATATCATCACAAAATTTGGCAGACGCACGGTCCAAGGCAAGACAACCTCACAATCTCCGATGACTTTATTGAGATCCGAGTCATTTTATACCAGTTTATGGTACATTTATTACAAGAAATGCACCTGTTGCGTGTACTATGGCTTCGGTGTAACCGAAGTTAAATTTTTTTCTTGTCTTTCTAAAATTCTAAAGTTACCTATCAAGTCGTTCAGCAATACACGAATATAAATTCCAACGCAGCTTCGATGATCGCGATTCCCAGCCATAATGATCATGACTACCATGATATGTAGCATTGTATTCACTTTTATACTCTGGATAAAATGGATTTTCACGATATGTAGTAGCGTTATAGGGCAGGAAAAATTGTCCCTTCAAGGTATAACCGACGGTAAGAGATTCATACTCCAGATCCGCTGGTACGCCAATGCCGACAATAAACTAAATATATACATATATAAAATTTCATTAAAAAAGTGTAATATTTATTCAAATTAATAATATTTGCTGCGCGTTAATGTCATTAAAAGGTGTGTGCTCATTACTTACAAGCAAACGGGTAGGCGCTTGTCGCGGATATATCAGCCAGCGCTTACTCCTGAGTAATTTAGTGCTGTCAATCAGCATATTATTACTGTTGTTGAGTGTGACAAACACAAACACCCAAAAGCTTAGAGAACAACCAACCATTGTGAAGAATTAAAGGCAACTAAAGTCTCGGCTAAGCCAACCACCAATGTATATTCTATCCAGAATTTCTTTCTGTACACATTTTTGCATGAACATGCATAAATTTATGCTGAAATGGGGTGCTACATCACGCTGCCAAGGTGAGAATGCTAATTGCATGGAAAAGACTTCACACCTGCGCACTAAACGACGCTTTTACTTCATTACTGACTGCTGTGCCAACACTTAAATTTCACACTGCCTAAGTAAATGCTGATTAAAAAGACTTAAGTTGTTTTTTTTTTTTTGGTTTTGTTACATTCATGCCACCATTTATTTTCGCGAGCATTCAAACTAGTAGATTTTCACATATAGTATGCCTGGACGAGATGAAACAGAAAAAAACTAGCTAAACAATCGGTGTGAGTTTGAGCGCATGCGCAACTGCACACATATGTACATACATTGGAGACATTCTAGACATAGTGGAGAAAGCATGGATAGCTATTAATCATTAAAAAATATAGTACACTTGAAATTTGTTCACACTCTAAAGGGAAAAAACATTGACCAATTACACATAAACATTGCTGTACTAGCATTTGCAAGCCTTTACATGTGTGTGTGTGGGGGAGTAATTAACAACAATTTAATAGTTGCGCTGCAAGATGCGCCGTTTGGCCTGATCCTCCTCTGTTTTCAAACTGCTCTTTTTCACATGCAATTGCCAGGCGTCACTCAATTGAAAGATGTCGACCAGCGTCTTGAAGGACACGCTCTTCTTCGGGTTATATTGACGATGATGTGTTGGCTTTTGACTGCGCTGTTGTGCATATGCTTGCTGATGCTGTTGTTGAACTTCCAATTGTTGCAACGCGTCCGCATTACTGGCGCTGCTCTCTTGCTCATACCCTTCTTCTTGTACACACATATAGGTGGCGGAGTCAGTTTCCGTTACACAATCTTCGTCGCTTAAAGTCAATGCTGTTACAGTTTTCATAACCTCTGTTTGCCTGTCGTCTTGTTGGTCATCACCTTGTGCTTGTTGCAATATATGTTCTTCATGCTGTTGTAATTGTTGTTGTTGTGTTTGCGTTTCGTCTTCCATAATAACTAAGCTGCTTAATATTTGTATTTCCGAATTTTTTGTTGATTTTATTTAAAAAAAAAAAGTGTAGGATTAAACAACACAAATAATAATTGAGTTCATGAAAAGCAATTTTTTCAAATATTAAAAAAAATTGTTCCGAGTTCAACGGTGAAAAGTATAAATAATACAACAAAAAACTTATGTGCATGTTTGTGTCTATTCCCAATGGAAAATTGTGCTCAGTCAAATTGTGAGTTTTGCAATTAAAATTTTTCATTAGAAACTTGCTTCATCTAATGGTTTGCTATTGTAATTGTTTCCAAAATCTTTTAAGCAGCAATATTGCGTATTGTATTACTATACCTTTAACAAAGTTTGCCACTAAAGTTGTAATAATTGATCAACCACCAAGTCTTTTGTGTTGAAAGTAAGGTTTTATTCTTATTAAGCTCATCATGACGATAATTGTGAGCGCATATTGCAATAAATATTAATGAGTTGCACTATATACCCATTTATGAGTACTTTCAAATGTTTATATGTATTGGTATATGGTTGCGCAGCTGAATATTTATCATATTATAATTAAACTAATTTCAATAATTAAATTTGCAATTATTGCCCAAAATTTGGAAGATATTTTGACTTTTAGCAAATTACAGTTATAAACTTATAATATGTATATTTATAATTGCGCATAATTAACACATTACACTTACAAGTTTATTGAACTAAATTACAAATTGAGATTAATTGCAATACCATGTTCGTCATTACTTCTACTGATCATACCATAGATTTATCAGCCAATTTTATTATGATTTGCACAAAGAAACATATAAAAGCAAAATACTTGTATCGTGCCATTAATTGGGCCTTCCAAATACAATACTATTATATACTTCACGGTTAATAGTGGATTAAGTTGCTTAGATTAGCGGCGTCATAATGGGCATTATATAACTAATTAATAATCTAAAACACAAAAAGTTGCCATTGTATGAATCTTTTGAACTTAAAAATTACATGAAAGCTTTTAAAAATGTTGTGACGCTGTCAGTTGACATTTGAAAATTAAATTAAAAGGAAAAATGTAAACAATGCAATATGACGTTACTTTAAGTATTAATATGCGACAATACTGCACTTTTAACTTAAATCGAAAATATAAATGAGAAAACTTTATATATTTGTGTAAGACCAAGTCGCAGTGCTCCGTTTTAAACAATTTCGTGTTCTTAATTCAACTCAGTCTATTTCCATTGTTGCTATTTACTGGAAGTGGTATTCATTATATTTCGTTGGCCATTGCGTTTAAGCTTTATTATTTTTCATCCTTATGAAACTCATCCATACAAAGTTTGCAGCTCCACGAACCCTCGGGCGGCGTAATTAATGGTGGTGACAAACAATACATATGATAGCCGCGATCACAATCGTCACAGAATAACAATTGATCATCATTGTCCGAAGTACCGCATATGGAACAATATTTACATTCGATGCATTGCCAGCGATAACGTTTCACCGAGATAATCATATTTGGCGTAAACTGTAGACAAGAGGGATGACCGGAACGGCCGCAATCCGAACATGACACTAATTCTTCGGGTAAATTTGTCTTTTTGTTCTCACGCTGATCACCCAAACAGAAATCGCAATAAGTTGATGGCGTGGCTACCTCACGATCGGTGCGCAGTTTATTTTTAAGATCTTTCTTTACGGCACCACCAGCTGCAATAACTGGCGCAGCAACACTTGCAGCCGCTGTCACTGGTGGTGTAACAGTTGGTGCGGCAGCGACACTTGTAACACCACTAACAGCACTTGTACTGGGTAGCACGGGCGCCACAACATCAGTAGTGACAGCAGCGACAGTAGGCACTACATTCGGTTCACTTATGGTTTTATCGAAAGTTGTGCCCGCACTCGGTGCAGCAGTAGTTGGCATTACAATTGCCGATTGCGAAGTTTCATCATTCGTACCAATCGGCGAAGCTGAGTTAGAGTTGCTAATCTCCATGCTAGAAGCTACAACACTAGCTGCAGCCGCCACAGCAGCAGCTGCGGCAGCTGCTGCAGCCGCTGTATTTGCATTGTTGTTGTTGGCATTATTAGCGCCACCACGTCGACGACCGCCACCTTCACCATCTGCGTTATTGCGCCGACGGCTGCCTATATAAGGAAATTTAAATATAAACATTTGAAGCTTGTTCAACTTAAATTAATTTAACATACCGCCACCTTTACGGCCACGTTTTGGAGTGCCATCAGCAGTTGCTGTACTTTTGCGAGCAGAGCGTGAACCTCGCTTACGTTTACCACGGCTGCTATACGCTATATCATCGTAGTCATTATCTGATTCAAAATCTTCCTCGAAATCATCGACATGGTGATAGTGCGACATGTCAATGTCCTCATGAAACCAATCCTTTTCTGGATTGGCATGCGAATCTTTGCTGTCATTATCACCTGAAGCACTCATGGAATTGCCATCTGCTGCGACGATTGCTAACAAGTATAAAAGTGATAACATAAATACAAAAACAATATATATAATTTACTTAGATAAGTAGAAATAAAGCGATTATTTACAAAACAAATACAGAAAGCTTTTTTATTGGCAAGTTCTATTGATTCTGCTGTTTGCCATTGCAATGGGCTCAATGTAACAAAGCATTTCTAAAGTTATATGTATATATAAATATGCCTACCAGCACTTTCTGTTTGATAATGATCGCGCCCTGAGGCATTGCCAGTGGATTGATGGTAGTGTGGTTCACGATACTGGTAGGCCCGGTAACTATGGTGATGATTAAGCAAATACTGACGTTTCGGTTTGCGCCAACGTGCTGATGGATAGGTGTATATTTGACCGTCCCGAAAACCAGGCATACGTTGACGTTGTTTCATGAATAAAGCACAATGTGTCTGCGCAACACCAGTTTGCGGATCCAAAAATGGCATACGCAGACGACGTTCGATACATAATCGTGTATTGAAGTTTTCACTATTTTCCAATATTTCCTTGTACGCTGAGTCATTTAGAAAATTCTGTATTTTCTCAAAGTTGTTGAGATTTACAACTTCAATTTCGGAAGCCATTATCCCTTTTACTATGCTTTTGAATTAATTCTCGACAAAGTTGAATGGACTACTTTTACGTATATTTGTATGCGTGTGAATCTGTGTGTTTGCACAAAACAGTCTGGCAGATATAGAAGGTTGTTTTATACCAACTTCGAAGTGTTTAATATTCCGAAACGATACCAGTAATTTAGTAACGTTTTTTTTAAACTCTTTTAGTTACAATATACAAAAAGAACAATGTTTTCTTATTAAAAATACATTTTTCACTTTTCACAAATGTATGCCTTAAATAAAAGCAAGAACTTCAGGTGCGTCTCTAACAAAGCGAGTACACAATGAAAACACAGAGGCAAGCTGCCATATGTTTACAAAAATATTTAATATTTTGCGTGATTTTTGAGTTCTTTCATTTGATTTTTGGTGAGTGAGCGCCCAAACTATATGCACACAAAATATTCATGCAATAAATATAAAATAAATATAAAAAACTTTGTGGTATGTTAAGTAATAATATTGCACAAATAAAGACAAATACAAGAGAAAGCTTACATTTTTTAACATTAAAACATCAGCTTGCTAATGTGGCAACTCTTGAGGCCAGTGTGTCATTCAATTTTTGATTTGGGCGTGGAAAAGGAACAAAAACAATTTTGTTTTCTAGTGAGATTTTTATTTTATAACTTTTTTATAAAGTTATTATTGCAGCATATTTAATTGAATTATTTTATTTTGAAGTTTGTTATATATCACCACCATGGGCGCCAGTAATCGCACAACACGCATAGCAGTTGGAATTTCGGCTATATCATTCATATTGTTTGTAATTGCATTCGTCACACCCTACTGGCTAATTACAGATGGTCGTATTGACAATCCTCGTTTTACAAATCTTGGACTATGGGAAGTGTGTTTCCGAAATTTCCAGGATATACATCGGTTCTACGATACCGTCTTTAATGGATGCATGTGGGTATTCGAGGAAGAATATTACATTATACACGATTTTCTTCTACCAAGTTTCTATGTTGCTGTGCAAGTTTTTGCAACACTCTGCTTTGTGTTGTGTCTCATCGCTTTGCCGCTGACATTATCATTTTTGCGTACCTCTCGCGATGACGACCGTTATGTGTTCTTATTATTAACTATTGGATCCTTCGAAGTACTAGCTTCAATATTCGGCTTTATTGCTGTTGTAATATTCGGTGCGAAAGGAGATTCCCGTGATTGGATGCCAGGATGGCAAAACAATGATATGGGTTGGTCATTTGCTTTAGCTGTGGTTGGTGGCATCATGTTATTACCAGCCGGTGTGTTATATATAGTAGAAGCACGTAGGGAACGTTATCGTCATTTAAATGAAATTAGTAATCGTGATATAAGTGAATATGGCGGTCCCACAGATGAGTTTTATCAACAACAAGCGCAACAATATTTTGCACCGGAACCAACTAGACCAAGGCGTCCACCACCCGGTCAGAGTACATCTGCCGCTGCTGCTGCAGCAGCCGCTGCACTACCCAAAGCAGGCGGAATACAAACCGATATATGAGAAATGTTTCAGTAAACTATAAAAACAGAAAATTTGAATTGCGAACATGAATCTCGAAAATCCGTCCTTTTTTTTAGTGAGTTCGGCAAAATGGTCAATAATCATTCCATATTACGTCTAGTTTTTAGTCAATTAGTATTTTTACTCCAGTAAAAGTATCTACAAAGTTTATGTAATGTCTAAAAAATGTTTTATAAACATCTTACGTCCGTTTCGATATATTATGATTACACGATAAACTTTTGTCTTTTATACATTGTTATATTCGTAAATTATGTCTTTTATACATATATAATTTTTACAGAACTCTAATAAAGATTTTTACATACAAATTTATATATACAGTTATAGTTTTAATTCAATTAATTGAATAATACGAAATATTTGTATAGTTGACATTGCGCTTCTGTTCCACACTTGTACATTATTAGTTTCTGGGGTTTCGCAAAAGTTTGTTCGAGACTTATATTATCCTTAAATCTTAAGAATTACATGTAGAAAATAGTATCAAGCAGTGAGAGAAAATATTTGAATTGCACGAAAGTCGTTAACATTTTAAGCTGTCGCATTGTACTTAACATTTTTATAAGATGTAAACGACTAGAGAACACACAAAATTGTCTCAATCTTACTTTAGGCTATATGGCCGGAGCCATTTCTGTCACGTGGCGGTTTCGCTATTGTCTCAGATTTCAACCAATTCGCATTTTGTTGTTCGCTTGACGTTGACGTCTTCTCAACTATAACGAACAATTCCCGCTTGTTTGTTTCTAGTTGTGCTCTCAGATAGGTTAGTAAATCAGTCTCGCTGCCAATGCATTCGGGCTCACGCAATTTCGAGTCTAAATTGTAGTACTTGCCATCGATACAACGTACGGCTATCCAGTGGCGTTTTTGCAATGGCAATGTGACGAATGCGAATTTGTAGTCCGAAGGCACATTAAGAATGAAACCGACAATTGCATTCAAATCAATGCAGGACGGGTCTCTACACATGTGTAAATGTAATGAAATAATGTCGTTAGCAAATAATTTTGGTTAATTAATATTTTTCATTTACTTGCGTTTGTCAAACCAAACTGCTTCGCAGTTCCGCAATTGTAGTGCCGTCATAATAACATTAATGTCATAATTGCCTAAACCCAACGGCGAACGATGTGGATTGATCCAAACATTTGGACTTAGGTCGTTGCATATTTGATCCAATTGTTCTTTCGTGTAGGACTGTTCACCTACAATAGATGTTTCTAATATAAAATGTAGGAATAACAGAATATATTACCTTGGAAAAGATTATTGAGAGTATGAAGCGCGCATAGCTGACGCGTCTGTCTTTCGTGGTAAATATTTGTTGGCATTATCGGGCACTCACTGGCTACTTTATGGTACTTAGCTGTCAATATCTCATTGATTAATTTGCATTTATTTACAGTGCGTAAATTTTCTGTGAACTTTGTTGTTCCCGTCGCTTTTATTTTTATTTTTATTTATTCTCTTAGTTGTATTACACCTAAAAACACCTAAAAAGTCATTCTTGATTTTTGTATAACTAATTGTGACTTACATACTATTAAAAAGAAGAAGCATGTGAAACGCAAAATACAACAGTGATGGAAAGCACGTCGTGTGGAACAATTATTAATCAAAGTTGTTTTGAAAAATATTTATTTTATTGTGTATAAATTATTTCTTTTTAACTGTTTTACGTACGCTTCTTACTCACATTCACTAGATTTTTCTCAAGCTTATGAAATATTAAACATACATTTTATTCGGCTGTCCGCACAAAAATCCCTCAATTCATTGCAAAAATCCATTAAAGATATTTAATATCAATCGTTAAAGTCTGACAGCACTTGTACTGGTCGAAGCTGTCATGTGATTATATTTTTCACCTGACTGACATTTTTCTTCGCGAATTTCTTCAACTTCTATTCGACGACGGCTGAAAATTTGTAAGTTTTCCTTGTGGGAAATTGTACGAGGTTCAAGAAGAAAAGTCACCGTTTACCCTTCAGTGTAACATAAACAAATAAAACAGCAAAAATGAAAATTTGTGGTCCAAAATTATCGCTCTGCGGTCTGATCATCTCCGTTTGGGGAATCATACAGTTGGTGAGTAACCAGCACTTTGTGTAATATTAGTTATTGGTGATTTCCTCTGGAATAGATAAGCCATACAAGATAAAAATGTGAAAATTAATGTAAAATATGTGACTACATAATATTTTAGTAAATTTACATGTGCAGTTAGCATTATTTGCTTGAGCTCCAAATAATTTGTAAAATTTTGATTTCTTTGTTTCAGGTGTTGATGGGTGTTTTCTTCTTTATACACAGTGTTGCGCTAATTGAAGATTTGCCTATCAGTGAAGAATATACATCTGTAGAAGAATTCTATACTGCAGCCAATGCTGCGTATAACCAGGTACAGTGAAATAATTAATTTGACATCCACTTACTTTCATATACACGTGATATGTGTTAATGACCTTGATCACGCTAACATCACGGTCGAACCATTTTAAAATCTTCACTTAGCCTAATTTTTACTTACATACATTTTTAAAATTTCGTTTACCTTCCACTAAATTTTAATTTTTTTTTAGAATGCCTACAATTGCTGGATTGCTGCCTGCATCTATGTGCTGACTCTATTGTTGTCCGCCCAACAATTCTATGTCAACAGCAGAGCAACTGCCAATTAATTTAAGAGACCGAGTAACATAAAACCTAACAAACCTAAAAAAAACTACAACCACTTGTTTAGTTCGTTGACGTATTATGTTCTAAATTTCGCCACCGTCATCTTATATTGTTGGAAGTTGTAGCTAGCAACCATCTCTAAAAAACAAAAATGCAGCTCAGGTTGTGTCAAGCATTGCGTAGACATTAAGTGGGAGCAAATATGGAGTACTGCAACACAGTGTGTCACCTCAAGTTCATCAGCGTCGTCGTTATTGTTGATTTCTTTTTTTGTTTAATTTTACTAAGCGGTGTCTGCAGTTATCAATGCAAGAATATAGTTTAACAAAACCATTGAGTAACTCTTTAACATTATTTGTGTACTTACAGTTGATGTAAATAACGAAACATAATTTTGTTTTGTGAAAATTTCAGCAAACAAATTGTTCTTTGATTTCGAACCTTCAGTATGCTATAGACAATTTTCATCTTAAACTAAACACATTCCATAATCGTCCAAATCCTTTACGAAATTATTATTATTATTTCTTTCAAATTGGTGTCTGCTATAACTCGCTGTCTGGTATTGCTTCCACTTTGCTTTAGCAATGTGCGCAAAAGTATTCTTTTTATTTACTTGTATTCTGCGTTGAGTGTATTTGCACTTTGCACAAGCTTACGCCACTTGTATAATAACTAAATATAAGTATGCCACAATTTGCAAATTTCGTTTGAGTGCTATTTGGTTAAATGCACATCTTTTTACTTGGAAGAAAGCGTTTATTGTACTACTTGTCTGCAATTTCTTGCAAAATTCATCTACAAGCTATTTTCCGTAACTGTAGTCTCCTCGATGTGTGTGTGTTTGTGTGTACAGTAACGTGACGTTAAGTACTGCAATTTCTGCGTAAAAATGTGTGCATTTTTCTGTATTTTGCATATATTTGTTTTCTTGTAAATTTAAATAAAAAGTTGTAAATTAAGTAAAAAATATAGAACCATGTAGTAAATACTTGAAAAAGATTAATATTCCGTATAAGGAGCACACCGCAAAAGCTGGTGAAAGTGTTGTATATCTTGAAAAGTTAAACTTCTATAAATACAGTGTATATTGAATAAATATTATTTACATAATAAATAAAACTTAGAGAAAAAAAGCAAAAAAAGTTTGAAATGGTTGCTGTTACTGGTGGGCGTGTTTTTTTTTTAATTTTAGAAGTTTGTAGTTTTTTCAATCTAAAACAAAACTGGGCGGAGCCTCGATTTTCATAACAAATGTCAATTTGGAAGCTTTCTACTAAAGCAGAGAAGTATTTTATGCTACTACAACAACAATAACAGTGTATTTGCTTAAATGGTGCTCGCTGAAGAAGGAGAAAAGGGAAAAAGGTGGGCCGGTTGCTCCTTCTACCACCAGCCAGTAACCACAGCGGGCATGATGACACTTACAGGAAAGGCCTGAGCGGTGCTAGCCGTGTTACCTCGATCGTCAGCCGAGGTAGCGAAAAGGCAGCGGTTTCGATTAACCAAACTCAAATCGCGTAACGGAAACGCCACAGGAGCCATCCAACTCTAAATTTAAAAGGCTGAGGGGTCGCAGCACACAGTTGGCCGGAGGCATATGCGTATGTATGTCTTATGACAAAACTGAGGTCAAATGTAAAGACTGACAGACATAATAATTTACGAGTATATTGTTTTAATTTAAGGGGTCAACGAAGTTTTCTTGTAGGTCATACAAATTTGTTGACAAACTTAGTGTACCTTGTTCAGGACATAAAAACTATCACAAAAATTAAAGAATAAAAATAATTATTCAAATTAACATTTAAATTTATGATTTCTTAGTTCCATATTTAATAAAACCACAGCACATTTGGATTTCGAACATATTTTATTTTAGACGCTTTTCGTTTTTGATATTTTATATATAATATAATATATTATAATAGATGATATTAACTTTAGAAATATTTATACTTAAGCAGGTATTTTTGCATAATTAATTCAATAAAATTTTCGCCGTTTTTACAATAATAATAGTTATAGTTTTACATATGCATTTGAGTTATAAAATATATATATGTATGTATGCCTGTCGAGACATTTACTAGCGCTGTTATACATATTTATTGACTATAATTAATAATTTACGTTTTTTTTTAAATATTTTTTCATAAATTTTTGTTTGTGTAATGTTATGTCAACACTTCTTTACATTTATTTACTACTTATAAATAAAAAAAATTATACTTTAACCCATGCAAACTCTTTATAAGGTTTTGTATGCATATAATAAACACTTTTATACATATGCGTATGTAGGTGTATGTATGCTTGACTGCTTATATACACACATATATATATATAAACATACATAATAATCTAATGCTTTTTGTGTGCTAATTACAATAAGTACGTTAATGAAAATTATAAATATCCTTTTTTTATACAACTAAAAATTCAAAAGCAACGCACTTTCATATACAATATTTCTTTTTTTCGATAATTGTACAAAAATACTTAGCAATTTCAATTAATCTACATAAACATGTATATATTTATATTTTACTTATATGACATTTAATTTTTCATTTTATTTTAAGTTTCTTTATTTTTAATTTTTTTGTTTTTTGTTTTATCCAAAATTTTTTATTTTCATTTAACATTTTAGATTGTTTTTTATTTGACTTACATTTTTTTAGTTTAAATTTTTATATTTAATTTTAATTTTAACATTTTTCATAATTTTTTTTTTACTATATTCTTGGTGTTATAATTTTTTTTTGTATGTAACTAGTTGCCTATGTATTATATAACTTTAGTTTTGGTAATAAATATGTATGTTTAGAATTTAGCAATTGGCTGCTAAGATAAATATTTTGATTACAAGTTTGTTGGGCCTCCAAAGAAATTTAAGCAAATTGTATATACAACTGTACTTATTTTAGTTACTTTTTATTTCTAATTTTGTTTCCATACTTCACTTTTGCTCACATATTTATTAAAAAAATAATTTTTTTACCAGCTGATAGTACATTTTTCATATTTTCCTAGTAAATTATTTCCAATGATATGTTAATAGGAAATTAAGGCGAAAAGTAATATAAAATAAATAAGGATTTACAGAGACAATACATTTTTTTACAATAATTGAGCTCATTGGTGTTTAAAATTTATAAAAAAAACTCTGTATAATAAAAATAATTTAAT